TTTATTTTCGGAATATAGTCCCCATAATTATACATTCTGGGAGTTCTAACTGACAGACACACATGCAAAAAAACCTCATCTGGGCCATAGACCTGAACTAGGTTTTGGGGCCTAGCTAGGCCTAGCTCCACTTCAGCTTCCTGGCTAGGTCTAGCTCCACCTCAGCTTCCTGGCTAGGCCGAGCTCCACCTCAGCTTCCTGGCTAGGCCTAGCTCTACCTCAGCTTCCTAACTAGGCCTAGCTCCACCTCAGCTTCCTGGCTAGTCCACCTCAGCTTCCTAACTAGGCCTAGCTCCACTTCAGCTTCCTGACTAGACCTGGCTCCACCTCAGCTTCCTAACTAGACTTGGCTCCACCTCAGCTTCCTAACTAGGCCTAGCTCTACCTCAGCTTCATAACTAGGCCTGGCTCCACTGCAGCTTCCAAGCTAGGCCTAGCTCCACCTCAGCTTCCTAGCTAGGCCTAAATCCACCTCAGCTTCCTAAGTAGGCCTAAATCCACTTCAGCTTCCTAGCTAGGCCTAACTCCACTTCAGCTTCCTAACTAGGCCTAGCTCCACCTCAGCTTCCTGTTCCTATCCCAGTTTGATTTTTTTTCTAAAGCAGCTAGGCATAGTTAGGCCTTAAAATCTTCAACTTTGGCATTTTTTCCATGTAAGCCATATTAGCCTGTCCATGAGGTGTCAGCTGGAAAATTATAGGATTTCTGGAAAGCCTATGTAAAGGACTGCTCTAAATCAGAATTGACTTCACGGCACAGAGATGCATGATTCAGACAGGCTGAGGTGACTAAGCCATCATGCTTGCAAAGTAAGTCCATGTTTAGACCAATCACAAAGCAAACCAATCTCATTTGTGCATAGTGGAAGGTATGAAAAGCTCCTGCTGGGGCAATCACACATCTTTCAGCTGTTGAGGAATTTCGTGTTCTAACAACAGGTTATCTATAATGAAATGTCTGACTCACAGTCTGCTATATTTTGGGGGTGGGGAATAGGAACCTCCTATCTATATGCCTGTATGTTTGAATTGGCTTTGTGGTTTCTTATCACACTACACGTGTAGTGAACCGGAAAATAAATGTCAGTATGCTTCTTGGTCCAGATATAATATTTCCCCCCCTCTCAGTCTTGAGCCTTCTCCTTTAAAGGGCATTGGGATAAACTGAAACAACCCCATTCACAGAACAAATGATGTCAATGTACCCTCTTTTATTTTTAACAAAACAGGGTGAAGAAGGAATTGTAGGAGTCCGTGGCCCTGTCGGCATGATGGTAAGAATAACACAAGCAAAGCAGGATGCCAGGGGCCAGTTAGTTCACACCCACCCTTTTTTAAAACTCACAAGTAAAAAGCAGTTGCAGGTTTCGATCTTACAACTGCTTGGTCTTCTGACCCTGCAGCACAGGCTTCTGCGGTTTAGCCCACAGCGCCACCACGTCCCTAAGAATAACACAAGGAAAGCAGAACGCCAGGGGCCAGTTAGTTCACACCCACCCTTTTTTAAAACTCACAAGTAAAAAGCAGTTGCAGGTTTTTGCGATCTGCATTTCCTGGGATTGCAACCATATTCTGATTGAAAAAAAGAAGCACTCACTGTTTTCCACTTTTTCTCCTTTGACAACAGCCCTCCCTTATGCCCTCTTCCAGAAATCTCTCCTGCAAACTGGATGTTTTCAATGCAGGGGGCTGAAGCAAAAGGGGGAAGTGCCAACCGGTGGGTCAAAAGGGAGCTGTGTATAAGTGAAACCACCTTTGTACCTTCCCTAGAAATGTTTGGATACACAACCCATCCTTTGCCGTTCTCATGCACGCGAACTAAGCAGATCTGCTGCTGTGGTGTGTTCACAGCAAGACTCTGTCCTGTCTTTCTTCCGTTTTTAAAAATAATTGTTGTCGGGGAAAACCAGCAAGAACACCTCATTGGATGATGATGATTCCCCCCTTAAAATATATGCCATCCATTTGTGCAACCCAATGGCACTAATTTCCAAATAAACGTTTTGCATTCAGGCCTCCAAAGCAAACACTTCTTTGTTTCTGTAGATCTGTTTTGGACTACCACTCCCTGGTTGGGGAATACTGGGGTGTGTAGTCCAAAAATAATAATCATATTTCCCAATTCCGGTCAGGATAATGCCGGGATCTAAGTGAATGGAAAACGCAAAGCTAGCCGTGGTCCATACTAGCGCTGTTTGCATCTGGACATGACAAACAGCTCCATTTGTTTGTTTTACATTGAGTCACATTAAGGTGGTTGGGTAGTTTGGTGAGTTAAGGTGGTTACCTGGCTGTGGAGCCAAAGGCTAGGAGTTCGATTCCCCACTGTGCCTCCTGGGGAAAAAGCCAGCCTGTGTGGCCTTGGGCAAGCTGCACACAACTCAGACCTTGGGCGAGCTGGTTTTCGGCTGGAAAACAGAGGGAATGCTCATGGCGGAGGCCTTCTAAGACTGTAAAGGTCCACAGGTCTAAAACTTCCTAACTGTTCTGCCATGATTGGCCTTGACTGCTCTCTATCTCTGTCCTGGACACTTGAGAGCAGGGCATGGAGGAGTTTTGGATGAAGGCTTCCAGACTCATGGCGGAGGCCTTCTAAAGGTCCGGAGGTCTAAAACCTCCTAACTGCTCTGCCATGACTGGCCTTGGCTGCTCTCTCTCTCTCTCTGTCCTGGGCACTTGAGAGCAGGACATGGAGGAGTTTTGGATGAAGGCTTCCAGAATTCCCCCAGTACCTCTGCAGGAAATCCTAGGAGCCATTGTCCCAAAGAATTATTTTTCTATGAGATAACGCAAGTGGTGAATTACTCTTGACAAGTCTCACTCGGTGTCTTCTTTCAGGGACAGATAGGGCTTCCAGGACCTAAAGGTGAAAAGGTAAGTAGCCCACAGTTTTTTTAAAAGCACAAAACTCACCTGGTAGCCTTGGGTTGTTGAGTTTTTTCCAGCCTACTTGATGAGGTAGTTGTTTTGAAGGTAAAATGGGAAGAGGTGTGTATAACCCCTTGAGTTCATTAGAGGGAAAGCAAGATAGATATAAACTAAAAAGTAAATTTGAATTGTGGTGCTGGAGGAGACTCTTGAGAGTCCCCTGGACTGCAAGGAGAACAAACCTGTCCATTGTGAAGGAAATCAACCCTGAGTGCTCACTGGAAGGACAGATCCTGAAACTGAGGCTCCAATACTTTGGCCATCTCCTGAGAAGAGAAATCTCCCTGGAAAAGACCCTGATGTTGGGAAATAGTGAAGACAAGAGGAGAAGGGGACGACAGAGGACAAGATGGTTGGACAGTGTCACTGAGGTTACCAACATGAATTTGAGCAAACTCCAGGAGGCAGTTCTCCATGAACAGTAGGAAAATTGGTGAGAATCCACTGTGACCTGCAGCAAAATCAAGCTTTTAAAGTCCCCCAACAGTGGGAAATGTCCCCGATCTTCTCACTTCCATCCAGCCAAGAGGGCCTTTCCTATATTAACCTTTCTGTCCTGCCTTCTCTTCAGTGAGGTTTGAGCTCCAGGAAAGGAAGACAGGGCAGATAACAATAAAATAATGCTGTATAAATCAAATCAATAAATATTTACAAATTGTTCCAGGGAGATGGGAAAGTCTTAAAACTAATCTATTCCTTTTTCATTTTGACTTGCTTTTCTTAGGGCGAGGTTGGTTTTCCGGGGCCCAAAGGAGAAAGGGTAAGCAATGCTCAGAGGGTGAATTGTGTGGGGTGAATGAAGGGTGGATGGAGGAGCCTGGTTTTGGATGAGCCCAAGGGCATAAGATTTGAATTAGGGAGCCTCGTGGCGCAGTGGTTAAACCGCTGTACTGCAGCTAAAACTGTGCTCACGACCTGGGGTTCAAATCCCAGGTAGCCGGCTCAAGGTTGACTCAGCCTTCTGTCCTTCCGAGGTCGCTAAAATGAGTACCCAGCTCGCTGGGGGGGCAATGTGTAGCCTGCATAATTAAATTGTAAACCGCCCAGAGAGTGCTTGAAGCGCTATGGGGCGGTATATAAGCAGCACGCTTTGCTTTGAATTGTGGTGCTGGAGGAGACTCATGAGAGTCCCCTGGACTGCAAGGAGAACAAACCTATCCATTCTGAAGGAAATCAACCCTGAGGGCTCACTGGAAGGACAGATCCTGAAGCTGAGGCTCCAGTACTTTGGGCATCTCATGAGAAGAAAAGACTCCCTGGGAAAGACCCTGATGTTGGGAAAGTGTGAAGGCAAGAGGAGAAAGGGACGACAGAAGACTGAGATGGCTGGAAAGGGTTATCAAAGCGACCAACATGAATCTGACCCAACTCCGGGAGGCCGTGGAAGACAGGAGGGCCTGGCGTGCTGTGGTCCATGGGAGTCACAAAGAGTCGGACACGACTTAGCGACTAAACAACAACAAGGGCATAAGACGCACAACAGAATTTTCTATGCTCTTGGTGCAATTGGTTGTTGAGAAAGGATTGTGTTGGGCACAATCTCCCTTAATGTGTCCCTTCTTTGCACCGAGAAATCACTGCAGTCCAGAAGTAGAAGCCCTATTGCTGGACCAAAAAAAAAAATCTAGCTTGGGCATGGATCAGGGTTGGGCTAGAACACTGGTTCTTAACCTTGGGTTACTCAGGAGTTTTGGACTGCAACTCCCAGAAGCCTTCATCACCAACTGTGCTGGCAGGGGTTTCTGGGAGTTGCAGTTCAAAAACATCCGAGTAACAAAGGTTAAGAACCACTGGGCTAGAGCACAACTCCCTATAAATCATGTGATAGCTAGGAAATAGCTCACTACAAGCAGTCCAGAATGTGAGCTCCATGCGTGTATAAACACAGCCTGTCTTAAAATTTTGATTCCATAATTTCAGTAATGCTTTGTTTCTCGAGCTTTGCTTGTTTTAGACATGTTCTTGAAATATGCATTTAAAACCTTATTTATTTTGTTTTGCCAACAAGCCGGAACAAGAAAGGGCAAGAAAGATTATCAGAGTACTGGAAACCGAGCCCTAGGAGGAAAGATTGGATCAGAGTACTGGAAACCAAGCCCTAGGAGGAAAGATTGAAAAACCTGGGTATATTTAGCCTTGACAAAAAAAGACTGATAGGATGGCACTATTCAAAAACTTGAAAGATAGTCACACTGAGGAAGGGCAGGATCTGTTCTCAGTCATCCCAGAGGGCAGGATATGTCATAATGGGTTTAAGCTATAGGAAGCCAGATTTAGGTTCAATGTCAGGAAAAACTTCTTAACTGTTAGAACAGTACAACAATGGAACCTATTACCTGGGAAATGGTGAGCGCTCCAATGTTGGTGCCCTTCAAGAGAAAATTGGACACTACCTGGGAGATGGTGAGTGCTCCAACGTTGGTGCCCTTCAAGAGAAAATTGGACACCCATCTGTCAGATCTAAAATGCAAAATTTCCCAAAAAAATTCCCTTTACTCCCCCCCATAAAAATATGGATATTCTCCAAAATTGTATATCTCTAGTTAGATCTGCTTTGGGTTGCATTCCTGCATTGAGTAGGAGGTTGGGCTTCATGGCCTTATTGGCCCCTTCCAGATGAATGATGCTAAGATTCGGTTTCATTTTATTTTGGAACTGGTAAGTGTTTTGCAGCTTTCAGAGAAATGCCAAAGATCCGCATCTCTGTTACCATGGTTCTTACCTTTTGCTTGTTCCTGTGTTGTCCTAAAGAGGCTGAGGCTTGCCGTTGTCAGACATGGGTGAGGTAGCCAGTAGCAAATGGAAAAAAGAGAAAGAAATCTTAGACCAGAAACAGTTCGACAGAAAGTGGAGGTTTTCGAGAGAAGTAAAGGGACAGAGAGTCCCTCTCGGTCAAATGGGGGCAGCCAATTTGTCTTCCAATGAGGGGGACTTTCACAGAGGGCTACCGGAGCCAGCCAGCGGCCAGAATCCATTCTGGATGCTGCCAGCCTTTTTTCCATCATAAAACGAATGTGGGATGCCCTCTCCAAAAAGAGGGTGAATAAAACATGAAGAGGAAGGAGGAGGTGAATGAAGCAGCGTGGGAGAGATAAATGAACCTCAGGATGTTCCAGTGCATCATTTTCTAACCTTTTCCTTTCCTTTTCTCTTCCCCCCCCCTTTGATCCTATTTGTGAGTCATTGATGCTTGTCTCTTTTGGCGCAGAATGCGGATGGAGGGAGCACCCACTCTGTCAAGAACGGGTGGTGGAACGTCCCTCTCCTGGGGCTCAGGGGATTCTAAACAGAGCTTGGCGTGCTCACCTTGGGGGGGGGATCCTGATTCCCATAATCCCCCACAACTACATGGCAAAACCATTGCCTGCCTGGCTGGGGCTGGTGGGAGTTGTAGTCCCTCTCCCGAAAAGATATCATTTCACAGCTCAAGAGACCGGTATCACCCATGTGGGGTGCGCATATATTCCTTAAGTCCAAAGACCTCAAGGGAAAGTCAGGAAGAAAAGGCTAGTTCTCCTTGGCTTTTATTTTTCAGATGCGGTGGGAAGCAGTAAGTCGGCTGCATGGAAAGATGATATGTCAGGAGGACCACACTGAACGCATAGGCCATCCTTCCTACAAATGCACATGCGTTCAGGGTCTTCCTCTGACACTGCAGTGGACATTTGACTGGTTAAAAAGGAGCCGTTATGCGTTTCTCCCATCAGTTTATCCAGCGGTTATTTGAATAAGTCCCATTGTCTAACTCCTCTAAGTGTGTGCTGAGACCCTTCTGTCATGTCCTTGCATCCTAGGGAGACCCCATGACGATATTCGGACCTCAGGGTTATAAAGGCAACAAAGGCGATTCAGTAAGTGGCTCCTTCTCTTGCTTCTAACTAAAAGTTTTCTTTTTATCTCCACAAGCGGCTGACGGGAGTGGGGATTTTTTGGGGCCGTCGCACTCCTGAGGGTATTCCATGCGCTGCTTCTCATGCTTTGCGCTTTACTTGTCTGCCTCGGCTGTGTTTGTCTCGCTCTGAAAGCCCGGATCCCTCTATGAGCCTCCAACAGCTCCCGTACCTCTGCTAGCTGACTAGAAAAAGGCATTTCAGCAAAGAAGGAAGGAACTTCAGCAAGAAAGGAGGAACTGGTCACGCAAGCTACATCAGCTGAAATGATCTCTTCCATACAACTTAATTAAAGGTCCAGGAGCCTTCCGTTTCATAGGGCCACCCTAACTGCATCGAATGTTCACTCACAGCAGCTGGGGTGTGTGTGTGTGGAAATACCAGCCTCTGGAGAGCAGTCCACACTGTGTTACGACAATGTTGTACCATGTCCCCCCTTCTGGCTTCCCAAAAGATGTCTCGTTGGTCTCACTCAGATGCTGGATTTAGAAAGGCCTTTGGAGTGACCCAGTAGTCGGGGCAGTAAAAAAAATGCAGCAATAAAAGAAAAGAAAATCAACCAAGAACATCTGGCATCTTTCATGACACTCAGAGGCCTGAGTGCGAAGCAAGCTGGTTTCATCCCTTCGCTCACACTCAAGTTGGTCGGTCGGAAGAACCGCCTCGGGAGAAACAGTTACCCTAAGCTTGAAAATGTAACTTCCCTATACAGTACCTATGACACAGCTTTCACAATCCCTTAACCACACTGCATGGTGGGTTCTGGGAGAGGAGTAATCCCCTAAAATGGAAT